TTTCCGCGAGTAGAGAACGTTCCGATATCTTGTAATTTATCGATCTGTATCACTGCTTCCTCTTCGCAAATGAATAATAAATTGCTTTCTAACTCTATGCGAGATATCGGATTTTATTTGGTATTAGAGAAAAGTCCCATACTATGGAGACAGGCTCCTAATACGAGATAGCGGGGTTTCTGCTAAATTAACAGGCATCATCCGTTGATCTCACCATCAACTTATTGCCCCGAGATTTGTTTAGCGGAAAATGTATTGTTAGATCGTGTAATCGGTGCGAAAAAAAGTTTTGTGATTGAATTTGGATATTGACAACTTGCTATCTCATATTAGAAGCCTATTTCACAACAAGAGACATTTCTCTATTTTTTTTAAATCAATGAGAAGGTCTGTTTTTAACGTGGTGTTCCCTCCGTTCGCAGGGATCGTAAGAACCAGTCAGGTGATCGATTACGAAGAAACAAAGCAACTGGAGTTCACGGTGGTCGCTTACGACTCCGGAGTGCCCCAACTTTCCGCGGCTGCGAAAGTTACCGTTACCGTGATCAACGTGAACGATCAGGACCCGAAGTTCGAGAGGGACCTGTATAACGCATCGGTGAAAGAGAATTCTCCACCCGGCACTCGCGTTACCGTTGTGAAAGCCGTGGACGGCGACGAGGGAACCTTCGGCGATGTCAGCTACAGCCTGATTGGCGAGCACGCAGCTGACTTTAACATCGGTAAGCCAGCAAGCACGGTCCGTCGTGTTGCGCTGGTAAAAATAAAATATAAAAAATACCTTTCCTTAGTTCCTACCATGGATTGATCTTGTATCGTCAATGAAAAATAATACGCGGCATTTAATTGTTCAATATCTTGTGCGATTTTTAGGGCATGAAACCGGAGAGATCACTGTGGGCGGTGCTACGGTTCTCGACAGAGAAGTGACACCGGAAATCACCATAACGGTGATGGCCAGCGACGGCGCCCATGTAAATTCGCGGCGAAGCACCACCGTGCCGGTGGTGGTCAAATTAATTGATGAGAATGACAACAGACCGATATTCTCGCAGCACAGCTACAGAGCTTCCGTCGCGGAAAATTTGTCCGTTAACCCGCCGGCACCCATCTTGCAGGTATTACTATCTAAAGTCGCCTTGAACAACTCCAAAGTAATAACTTATTGCACATAGGTATGGAATTTTTCAATTGTAATTAAGTTTTTCTAATAAATAGAAAATGTTTGAACAAAATATGGAAAGATCATTTTGTTATTTTTCAATCTTCAGCATTCTTTGTAAGGTTTTTATTATTTAAAATTAACAAAATGTTTGGAAACTTACGGTAAAAATTGACAAATTTATTCTGTTTTTAAGGTGCGAGCAGTAGATCAAGACGAAGGAACGAACGGCGAGGTCTGGTACACAATCATCAACGGGAACGAGAACGAATCGTTTTCGTTAAACCGCGAAACAGGCATCTTGTACCCCGCGGCCGCCCTCCTCGGCAGAGCCGGTTCTTACAGGATCGAGGTCGAAGCACGCGACGGCGCCGGAAGCGGTCCACATTCGGACAGATGTTACGTCGACATAAGAGTCACGCCTGTGAATCAACATAAACCGCAATTCGTGATGCCGGAACTGACAAACGCGACCGTGGAAGTACCAGAGGTACGTACGAAAAGACGAATGTTTACATCGAGAAAAAGAAAGAGCTGAATTAAAATATATGAAATACGAATAAAAGATATTAATAGGCGGTCAATTTTCAGAACGCAGGTGTGCCGAATTATCTGATATTAACTGTGAAAGCAATCGACAGAGATCCGGGCGAGAATGGCCGCGTTAGCTATCACCTGAAAGTCGGCAACAGGAACGTTCAGGAGACCGAGGAATTTTCTATAGATCAAGAGACCGGCGAGCTTCGATCGAAGATCATCCTCGACCGCGAGATCAAAAGCAAGTTTGAGGTGAGTGATATATTAATTTACACTCCAAACGAAACGACTGGAATTCTATGTATGTATATTCTTTCAGCTTGTTCTCGTGGCGACCGATCATGGCAGTCCTACGGCGTACGAGACCCTGCGTCTACTAACAGTTCAGTTAGTCGACACAAACGATAACGTGCCGCAGTTCTACGAGGAGTATAATTTCCACGTGTCTGAGAATCGACCGAAGGATTACTTCATTGGCAAGGTTACAGCGGAGGATAAAGACGAGGGCAGACATGCCAAGGTTTACTACTACATAGAAGCGGGTAAATATATAAATGATACACGGGATATCTGCAATCGTGCTCTTCTTCTTTTTATAATTTTCTCGACAGTTGGTTTTCGATTTAAAAAAATTGTCTTTTTGCGATACTTTAATTTTCATTAAAGATACCTTCGCGATAATATCTTACGTGTTGCTCGTTTTTCTTTTCAGGAAACGAAGGATACGCTTTTTACATGGACAAATCCGATGGAAGTATCTACGCGAATAAGTCGTTTGATCGCGAGACGAGAGACAAGTACGTTCTCTCTATTCTCGCGTCCAACGATCCCGATCTTTACATCAATCCCGCGCAGTCCGGCCGGCCGTTGACTCGCAATCCGGAGCACGGGCACGTGAACGTGACGATCACCGTGCTGGACGAGAACGACAATCCGCCGATCTTCGAGCGCAACGATTACTACGCCGGCGTGAATTCCATGGCCAACATAAACGATTTTGTGACCAAGGTAACCGCGTCCGACTTGGACGTCGGTGACAACGGTACTCTCCATTACTACGTCGCCAGCGCGAATCTCTACAAGTACGGCTCGGAGAAGCCGAGCGGCTCGATAGTGCCGAGCCCGTTCAACGTCACGCAGGACGGAAAACTCGTTACGAGCGGATATATGGCCGAGTACAACCAAGATAGATTTATCGTTGAAGTCATCGCCAAGGAGACGGCCATTCCGGAAAGATACGCGATGACTAGAGTTCACGTGAGCTTCCTACAGTTGTCATTATAATTTAATACCTTATCTCATCTCGTTGATAGAGGACAGTCCCTCATTATGAGATAGCGAGTTAGCAACTTCCAATTTTACAAGACTGTTTTCGCGACGATTACACGCATGATCTGCCAATGAATCTTCCACTGAACAGATTCCACTCCAAGGGCAATAAGTTCATGGTGGGACTATCACATGATGCGTATTAGTTTAGCGGAAATCTCGTTATCTCAGAATAGGAACCTCAACAGGAAACTCTCTATTTATCTCTATTATACAACACATACGTTACTAATAGCTAGCACATTGATTCGTAAGATTTTTCGCAATCGCCGCGTCGAATTTCTGCCTTTATTTCATACTTGTAATTAATTTGTACCTTTTCTCAAGGTCTGGGTGTTCGAACCGTCTCAGCTGATACGAGTCATATTGTCCCGACCTCCGGAGGAGGTGAACAGCGAGCGCGACGAGATTGTTTCCGAGTTATCCAACGCCACGCAAAGCAGAGTCGTAGTGGACGATATCAGATATCACGTTGACGCTTCCGGACATATCCGCAGAGAATGGTAATTGCGCGCGGATATAAGTTCCCCTCGTACTTTTCTGCAATGTGTCGCGTGCAATTTATACGAAATCATTTTTAGGTGCGACATGTATTTGCACGTCGTGGAACCGAAAACTCAGACCATCGCGCCGATACCGCACGTGCTCAAAGTTATCGATGCGAAGTATGACTTCTTGAAGCACTACTACGCCGGGTTTGCCATAGAGAACGTCGTGGTGAGTGTCGCGATTTAGGATTTCATAAATATGTTTGCAATTGCATGAATTAAGATTGCTGTGACGTAGGAACTGATAATATTACTAAAATTAATAATCACGCGTGACTTGTGACCATTTCAGCCCGCGTACGCTGGAGTTCAAGAGGAACCGTTCGATCCTGCGCTTGCTGCTCTAATAGCTCTCTTAGTTGTCTTACTCGTCGGCGCGGTCACCGTTACGGTAGTCTGTTGCTGTCTACGCCACTGGTAAGAATACAAAGGCACACCAGCCTCTGCTCTCTGCTTGTACATCCAATGCACGTACCGCAATGACGTTTCAGGGTAATAACTGTGCCAAATGATATACGTAAGAAGGACGGCCTAATTAAGAAACAGATCATCGACGAACTGAACACGACGGAGAATCCCCTGTGGATCGAGCAGTAAGTCCCGTCTCCCCCGCGCGCTCGCGGTCTCACGCCAGGATGTGTAACGCAGCACTTTTTCCCCCGATTGCAGAAAATTGAAGCTGTACGAGGAGCAGGAGTTAACGATGCAAGTGTTCAGCGAGCCCGAGGGCGGCCTCGGCGGCGAGAGACGCGGCAGCGGCGTGAGCGTCGGCATGGGCGACACATCCCAAGATAACACTTACGCGACCATCCAACATCCACTGCCTACGAACAGGCATCGTCCGACCACGCCGGATTACACGACGCTTCCAGGAAATCACAATGTAAAGTCGAGCGAAGCTAACGAGTCTCGTTACGCCAATAGACTTAGCTCTGATTAATGATTCTCTCTGAGATCATAGTTTTAACGCGAAGATTACAACGATCAGTATCAGTTACACGACTTACGCCAATCTCTACCAATGCAGATTAAATCGAAGTCCCTGTTTAACTTTTGATCTTTTCCCAATTCCTGAGGCTAGAAAAGGACGACATGCAAGTCAAACCGAGGCCAAAGTTAATCTGCATAGAAATGGGCGTTAAAGTAACGAAAAGAATATCTGCTCGAGTCACTCCGTGTCTCTTTGCTCGAAGAGCCAACGCGTGCGAGTGAGTTCTCGCGATGGATATAAATGGGTTACGTTTTACGTTTCAGTTGTACGAATCGGCAATGGGCTTTCAAGGATCAACATTCCAGCCTTCCCCGAACGTGATGCCGCAGCTGACGGTCGACCGCGACGGCCAGCCCCAGTTCGTCTCGGGGCTAATATAAATCAGTCCCCGACACGCGGGCGCGCTCGGCCCACTCCTCTCCTCCCCGCCACTCCCCCTTTCTATCTCTAAATAAGCTCCGTCGCCGTACGTTGTACCTCTTTGTCCGCGGCTCTTTTTCATTGCACGCGCCTCTTCGGAGCGTACTTCGGGCGACTCGTATGCACACACCTCTTTGACAATAACCGAGTTAAATATTGGTCGGGTTTGTCCTGCGAGTAGACGCGTGTACGAGAAGAGCGAGACCCACGAACACGACACGAACACGAGATACGAGACATTCGCGAGATCCGCCCTCTCTCACCCGCGTGACCTTTGGCCATTTTTTCTTCAGCCGAGACTCCTCCGCGAGAGCTTGCGAAAGGAACGATGAAGAGTGACGACGAACGACAACAGTCAATATTACTGGAGTAATTAATCCCTGTAGCTGGTGTGTGCATGTATATATGTGTGCGTTGCCAACCTGGGGTCCCGTTTGACCTTATCGTTAGAGCTACTTTTTAGAAGAATCAAAAGAGAGAAGGGGCAAAAGAGAGACGAAAGAGCGAGGAATATAAAGCTAGGCGAAATAGATAATGCGAGATAACTCGACACGACCGAAGCTTGGCACGACAGATATATGTATATAAGTGAATGTGTAGATTCCGTCCAGCCCAGAGTTTTCGCATTACTTTCCTCCGTTAGTTTAGTATTTATGCGTTCTCCGAGCTACGTGCGAGCTACGTGCGAGCTATGTGTCTCGCACGGATGTATAACGATCACTGCCACTGTCTCCGGCATCCGCGCGATGCGGTTGTTGTATCCGGTGAACGGCCGCGAGACGATCGCGCCGTCGTTGCTGCGCGCACAACGGGAGGTTCGTAATCAGGATAGCGCGTATAGTTTTCCAAGTACCGTTATTTTCGTCCTAGCGTATCTTATTTTTAAGGTAGAGTTACGTTTTAAAAACGACTGATACTTTTCTATCCTTTTCCCGATTAAACTGTGATTTGATTGCGCCCAAGTATGAGTGCGATGATTTAACTCGTAGTTGATTTTGCACGAGTCGCTGGCGGTGGGCGGACATAGTCATATCATAGTTAGATGAAGTAATGACGCTCGCAGCGAATTCCAGTGTCATCGCGGCGAAACGATCTCGCCTCCGAAGAACCGTGCCGACTTTGCACTTTAGTAGCGACTTCACAAACCGTCCTCGGCTGAGAACACGAGAACCGTGACCTTCGGGAATTCCCTGCGGATGCCACTTTCCGTAAAACTATAAAAAAAAAACGTATCGCAGCTACTCGACAACAGCAGTAACTTAACTTACGATCGAGTTATTTCTAAGAACATTTAATGTAAAACTATTATCGGTATCATATATGATATTACTAGATGGTTATGAATATTCCAGTTAGCAAAAGTATCTGTTTTATTAATTACAAATTTATTATAATATTGTAACATATTTTATGTAAGTCATTAATAAAAAATATTCGTACACCAGATCGTCAGCTAGTTCTGCGAGGTGGATTTGCTCGGGACCGACTGGCTCTCTCCGCTCGCGCTCGGATCGGTGTTTTTGAAGCGGATCAAATTTGCGGGATCTTTAGGATGACTTTCAGTTTGTTCTTTCACTCTCCTGCGAGTGCCTCCAGGATTCTGAGAGCTTTCACTCTTCGATTTCGGTGTAAAATCTAACGTCTCGACCACTGATTCCGGCTGCTCCAGCCACAATTTGTATCCCTTCCTCGTAGGGTACATCTTGGCATTCATGCAAGTTAAACACGTCCATTTGACGCCCTTTATTGGCTTCGACACTAGTCTAACTCTGGCTGTCTCTCCAGGTATGAGTGGGCCGTGGCAGCACTTGCAAGTGATTCTCTTCAAATCTGGCTCCCTAAGATAACGAATTTATTAACGCAACTTCCATAATTCTTTTTTTCCCCCAAGATCGATGGGTTATTTAAAAACTCACATGCGTAACACAGCCTTCTTGCCGCAAGCTATCATGTTATTGCCAAAGTAAGATGCCGCGACTCGATTCTTCGACGCTATTAAGTGACTAGCCTGTGAAGATGACAATAGTGTCAGGCGTCTCTTATTTTATCAGACAAACACTAACAAGCTAGCGTTATTTACCCCAGTTTTCACCAGTGTCGTTTAACTTTGATTCTAGTTTAAATCATCTTTTGTCTCATCTTCTAATATCCACTTGTACCAATGCAGATTAACTTTACTCTCGGCTTAAATCACTTTTCATCTTCTTCTAACTTCTAAAACTGGGAAAAGATATAAAGCAAGAACTTGAAGAGATGGATCGCCAGTAAATAAAGAACAAATCATAAGGATAACGTCGACAATTAACTGGCACAATATAAAGCAAGAGTTAAACCGAGCTTAAAGTAAATCTACATTAGTAGAAACGGGCATAGGCCCGGCCTCGCCTAGCGTTGCTTGACTTTAATCTTAGTTTAATTCACTCTTTCTAAAGTAACAGTTGGAAAGAGACAAAGAACGAACTAAGCTCAAAGTTGAGCAACGTTGGCGAAAACAGACATCAGTGTCCAAACGACGACGGATAACACCAGCTTGCTACCTGGGTAAGTAAAAATTACTTGTTGAAGAAATGTCATGATTATTCGTACCTGATGCAAGTAATTCATTCGTTCGAGAACGTCTTTCTGCTGACAAAATTGATTCCTCTTCTCTGTAGACAAGTGCACGTAAATATTTAGAACGTATACGCGTTTAAAAATAATTAATGTCTACACTGTATAACTTACTCATTGCAAAATCTGTTGTTTCACGTCGGATAACAATCTTAAAAATTTACATTGTCGAGCAACAACGAGAATTCGGTGCGTCCATCCCGACGACTCCTCGACGACAGCTTCGCGCTTTTAAGGTTAGACTGAACCGGTTAGATTAGGTTAGGTTAGGTTGGATCACTTCTCCATGTGGGTTTGTTTACGGCGGCAGCGAGAGATTGATTTTACTTTTTTTCGATGCTTTATTAGAAAACTTCTGTTACAAAATTCTTTGTTATAAAAGATACGTGCAAAAACCCTAGGTTCTTTTTTCGCTTCAACTGTAACCTCCTTCATTGCATAATAACTGAAGCAAAATCATAATATAACCTCAACTAGAGTGCCTTCATATATTAACAACGTATAAACGCATGCGTTTGCAGTTTAATGATTTGAAACGAGGATTAAGATAAATTTAAATTAACTTATATCTACTCCGTAATGAGTATTTCTATCGTTTATCGTGCTGTTACAATGCCCTGGACAACTTTTTTCTTACGTTACCGAGAAACAGAAAGTATGCGCGAGATCAAGATTATCTCCTCGATACTCTCGTAATTTGTTTCGAGCCGTTCGATTTTTGCACAGACGCGTTTCTCACGAGCGATCCTGTCTTATTAAGACTCTCCGAGTGCAGAGCTGACTCCAGACTTTTGATTACAGGCGTTGCGATACTCTTGACAATCGGATTCCTCCGATTTGCGTTGAAACTGTCCGAGTCCTTGGATCTAGCCTTGCACTTCCACGACAGGTCCGGCGTGAACTCGACCTCCACGTCGGGCATCCCTTCGGTAGTTAAGAAACTGCCAGTGGCATCGTTGCTGCTGTTTCTAAAAGGGAGAAAAAACGTCGCAGTAACTGGAGTACATTCTGAAAGAATGTTTTGGATCTCTACAAACTACGTAGCACCGTAGAGCAAGGGAGAAAGAGCTAAGAAAGAGTTACTCCGGTTTTCACTAACGTCGTTTAACTTTGATCTGACTTTAAGGCCCGGTTCTACCAAACGTTGCTTAACTTTAAGCTTCGTTTAATTCGTGTTTGTCTCTTTCTAAAGTTGGAAAGACAGAGAACGAATTAAGGCGAGCTTAAAGTTAAACGTTGGTGAAACCGGACCTAAGGAGATAGAATGAGAAAAGATCAAAGTTAAACGACGTTGGTGAAAACTGGGGTTACAGAACCAAAGAGTCGAATAACTAAAGAGCTGTAAAAAGCCACAGGGTTTGTAGAGCAAAAATCTTGCAGACTACAGAGCTACGTCTCTGTAGTATTCAACGGTACCGTGAATGGTCTTCCGAGCCGCCGTTATTCTCTTCGTAACGATAGCCGTATTCCGCCAGGACAATGTCCAAGTCGTTGCACTGCGCCTTCAGGTCTTCATACTCCGCTTGCGACTCCTCCAGCAGCCGATCCGTCTCGTCCAGGGACGGTTTCAAGTCTGACTTAAGTTTTTCTACCGCAGCCTACGTTAGGCCGATGGCAGAGAACGATCCGTAAACGCTTAAGACTGTCTTAGATCGTAGACGTAAGGCAAGGCAGAGAGAAACGTAAGTCGTATACAATAGCCTTTCACGACTTACGTTTCTCTCTGCCTTGCCTTAAGTCTACGATCTAAGACAGTCTTGAGCGTTTACGGATCGTTCTCTGCCATCGGCCTAACTCATATTAATACACATTTTACCTAATCAAATGCTCACGTAAGTTTCTTCATACGAGCATAAATAATATAACTATCGAACCAAGGTCCAATTGGATAAATGACGGTTTCTTTGATCTTTAAGGAAATCATTATGGGAGGATTATGTGGGCTTTTCTATTTTAAATTCTTATAACGTGTCCTAATCCACAATTTTAAACTGCGATTGGTATTTAGAGGGGAAAAAGAGTTGTTCTTTCTGAAAACCTAATCGACAATAGGGTGGAAGAGTTGAAAAAATATATATAAGGTAAAAAGTAGAGGTGAAAATGGTAAGTGACCCCTGTTTTTTTTTACTGACAAATATATAACTTGTAAATGATTTCGTCTTTGAGTGAGATAAATGAGTATCTCCAAACGTTCGCATTCGGTGTTTGTTGGATACCTCATCCATAACACCCTGTATATACATAATAGTTTTTAAATGCAACTGAAATGAGAGAGGGAAAAGCCACAAAATAGAATCATCCCTAGGTGTACAACGGGCATTGGCGATCTGTCTGTTAATCTGTGCTCCAGGACGGTACTCACATCGGTACTCCGGACGGACTCCCACAATTGCTCGAGGCAGGCATCCGTCTCGGCCGTGCGCTCCCCGTAGCCGCCCATGAGGAGGTCCGGCATCCTCCAGGCCTCGGAGAGTTTCTCGATACCGGCGTCGATGTAGCGCCCCTTGCACCGCAACCTCTCGAAGTAACGCGAGTCCTTCGCCATCCTTAATCTTTGCGAAAAAGTGACCGTCGCCTACTTCCAACAGCAACGACCGATTGGTCTTCTTCTTCTTCTTCTATCCAATGGCTCCCGGCTCAATCGCTGAGCCGACACGGCCACTACGACCGATTGGTAGACGCAATTGTATCCGTGACTTTCGACAGGATAATCGCGAGAACGTCCGTTACATGGCGACAGCGGTGATGGGGATAAAGTGGGATGGCTTCTGTGCCGCACACACGCCACGTGCTGCATACGTGCGCACACATATACGGCACGTAGCTTGTGTGCGGCACGGCGGCCATCCTCACTCTATCCCCACCACCGCTGTCACGATGTTCTCGGCTGACATCGGCGATTCCATCTTCCCTTATTTACCCTTTGCAGCTGTGAACATACCGCATAGGGGATCTCTTTTCTCTCTTTGCTCGACGTTCGATTGTATTCTGTCTCATTTCAATGCAGCACGGCGCTCCTGCGAAGAACAGATCTTAATAAAACGATTGCCGATTCAAATCTCGCACACCGCTGCCAACTGGAGTGCGCGCGCACGCGCCGCGTTCCCGGCGTATTTCAAAACGTCCGGAGTCGGCGACGAGTAAGCGCGCGGCCGCCTCGAGATGAGATAATTTCGAGCTCTTTTTGTCGTTTCTCGATTTACTAACCACAAGTAGTATCTAACCACAGATCTAACCACAAGTAGGATCATCCCTAGGTTAGGTTAGGTGTAGAACGGGCATCACGTATATCCACGGAAAATACGCACGTTGATGAGCAATCGACCATTCCACGCGGAACACGATCGTCCGTAACACTCGGGTCGGCGGCGTGAAAGGTAATTCGACGCGCGGAACATTCTCACTTCCGATTCCGTCACTTCGATATCACGAATAAACGCGTAAATTCACACGCAAAGCACACGCGTTGACCACTGCTCGACGCGTTCGCGGCTCTTCTTTACTCACTCGATGTATATCGCAGGCAGGCGCGAACAATAGGCGGCGATTCAACGGTTCGCTTCCCGTATCTTGCGCTCCGTCAAACGAAGAAATGACGAAGAACAATGTCCTGCAGTATCTACGAAGTCGACGAGCTCGATCGCGCGGCCGTGGCGTCGGACGCAGTTGCTCCGTGTGGCGTACGTACGCGCCGGCGGCTCGAACGGTAATGTCGGTAATGCGACGCGGCGGCGAGCGGCAGTGGTGGGGAGCGGTCAGGCAGGGACCTGGGGCTCGATTCTTGAATTTATTCGAAGGAGAAACGTATGCGAAAATTCTGCTCTTACAGAAAAGTTGCAAGTAGATTGGCTACTCGCATGGCTTTAACCAATAGACTTTCAACTTTTCTGTTAGAGCAGAGTTTTCGTATACGTTTCTTCTTCGAATAAATTCAAGAATCGGGGCCCTGTCTCGAGCCGCCGCGGCCGCTCGCCGCCGCATCGCATTACCGTTCGAGCCGCCGCACAGTGGTCCAGAATGTGAATTTAGCGGCTCAAAACTTCTATTTTCGAAGTGAGGAAAAAAAATTGATGATTACTTATATAACTATTTATTTGTTATTTATTTTGTTACTTA